ATAAAAGTAAAATATTACAAATACAAAAACAAACAAACAAATGAAACTAAATATATAAATGCGCCATATTATTATTATTATTATTAATAATAATAATAATAATTCACTTCATTTATTGAATAATATTTCACAAGTAAATGGGCTAAATACGATACCTAAGTAATATAATTCAATTCAATAATACTAAATAAAAACATTAAACGATAGAAAACAGAAAAACTTACAATATTAAATACCACAAAATAAGATGCAGTCAGCAGAGCAAGTATATATAAAAAATGAGGTCTAAATAATAATAATAATAATTTAATTCCTTTATTGATTGTTTGCCAAAAGTAAAGAGCCAATGAGAGGCAAACACTAATACAAAGATACAAATTAGATAAAAAGAAAATAATCTACCTAGGTAAACACTAGTATAAATTTAAAACACTAATGAAATACAAGGAACAAAATAAAAACAAAAATCAAATTAAAACAAATAACCAAGCTAGATCCAATCAAGGCCACTCTCTAAATCATTTCTCTTATTGAGAAAGTGCCCTCAAAAGAAACAATGTTTAAGGCAAACACATCCAAAAATTTACATACGTCATTTGCAGCAATGACACACCTGGCTGAAGGACTATGTCTAAGGGCACTACACACACTAAACGTGGAAAATTAATAATAATAATAATCACATTTTTAATATAAAATTTCTGTTGCATAATGTAAATATATCCACAATTAGGGACTTCTCCCATGATTCATGGTAAAATGTTGTGAAAGACAAATTCTCGTACGAGTTTTAAAACTGCTTAAATATATCGATCTGTCATTGTCCTGGTTTTCTAAAGTGGTGACAGGAGTTGATAAGAACTTTCTATTTTTATATCGGCCTGTTTCTTCATAATCTTGAGATCATTATGCCTATTGTAGCTCTGTTAACTTTATATTTGTACTGTACCACTGCATGCAAATGTTATATTGTACGCGACCTGTTGAATATTTAAGTGAATGTGAAAGAACAAACGGTCGAACCATAAACCCATATGCGCAGTACCATTCATAAGAACCGGATGGGGAAACGAGCTGCCATGCCAATAGACCTTGAATGCAACACTATTTAACGTACTACATACATTACATGTTTGGAACTTAAGCCACGCCTTTTCCTCCTGTGTGACCTTCACGCATTTTGCTGTGAAAAACATTTTGAATTCCTGTCCTGTCAGCTACATGAATAATATAATGTTCACTTCTTCTGTATTACACCGACCCTCCTGCGCTTTCGGAATGGCGTGTGCATCAAATTTTGCCAAAGACTCGCCAAAACGGCTACGGAAACCTGTGAAATGCTAAAGCAAGCATTTGGGGAGTCCGCAATGGGTCGTGCACCAACTTTTGTGTGGCATTCACGTTTTAAAAATGGCCGAACCTCTGTCGATGATGACGAGCGTTCTGGACGACCATCTTCGAGCACAACGCCCGAAAATGTTACGAAGATCGACGTCGTACCATCACTTGTACGACTTGTGCGACATTGTTGGGATAGGCTATGGGACCTGTCAGCTGATTCTAAAGGAAGAACTCCACATGCGACGCATCGCAGCCAAGTTTGTGTCAAGGCTCCTGTCTGAGGACCAGAAGCAGAATCGCCTTGACTTCTCGTTTGTCAGGAGCTGAAAGATCTTGCAAGAACCGACCCCAGCTTCCTTTCTAAGCTCCGTGTGACTTCTTCCTCTTCCCAAAGATGAAAATTCAGCTCAAGGGAAGGAGATTTGAGACGATAGAAGAGATTCAGGCAGAATCGCAGATGGTGCTTGACAGGCTGAGAAAGAAAGATTTCCAGGGATGCTTCCAGGCTTGGCAGCGGCGCTGGGATCGTTGTGTTCACTCCCAGGGGAACTACTTCGAGGGTGATGGATGAATTTAATACCTGAGATAAGGGTACGGGTTTTTATACGCGCAGTCTGGAAACCTTTCGATCGCACCTCGTATAACAGGATGCCGTGACGTGCTACTGTAATCAGATAGCTTCTAGAAGTACCTGTATATAAAAATGGTACAAAAGGGATAGTAAAAATGGGGAACGGGATGAAAATTCAAAAGAAACCGTTTCCTTTTGAATTTCAACGAGTCTTTTATACAGTACCAGTCACCAAATTGCGTGCTTCAAGGTCACGGAGGGGTTCATCCCCCCCCCTCCATCTCGTGGTTCTACGTCACACCAGAACAGCGCTGCTTGTTTTCTGCTCTGTTCACTCGCCTGGGCTCCAAGTTTGTTTTGACCTTGAAACATGCACTTTGGTGACGACAACAGAAGATCAGACTGCGATATGATTTTAAGCTCAATCTTTCATTATTTTTTCACATATCCGTAGACCTTGAGCTCAGTCCTTTGGTTACAATTTCTATCTGACCGACGCGAATGAAGACGTCTAGCCCGCAGACAGATGTAGATAAATGTTCTCACTTGATGTGACTGAATACTTCAAACACTAAGAATCGATACGCACGTGACAGTCGATATGCAAAAGTGTAAAAAAACTCGACCGCCGTCGATTGTGTCAGAGCTATGTCGAGACTGGTTCTCGATAACCCATCCTTCTATCCAAAGGGTACCGGGGTCGTTTCCCCTGGGGTAAAGCGAGGCTGGGGTGTGATGCTGACCACTCACCCCCATCCAGTGACGAGGTCACATGCCTTGCCTGTCATACGTTTTCATTACGTGGTACTTCAGCACAGAGAAAAATTACAACTGTCTTTTCGGTACTAGTAAGTGATTTTTTATTTATTTAGTGTTCTGTCTGACGACAGGTCCATATGAACAGGATCCTTCCATCCTTTTCTCGGACTGGGACCTGTTCATATACGTTCTTGGCAGATGATCCAGAAGTGGTTAGCCATTGCCTTCTTCTGTGTGTGAATTGAGTAATTGTTGGGATGCCACGGAGAAACCGGGGAAGCCCCCGGAGGAAAACTCCGTGTTGCCTAGACCACGGCCTTGCCCAACACAAGTTATAAATTCGGACACCGCCGGGAATCGAACCCGAGACCCCAGGATTACAAGGCCAGCGTTCTAACCGCTAGACCACCGTGGCTGATTAAGTGATGAGTAAATGACTTTCAAGATGACTTCGCATTCAAGATATGTATATAATTTACGGAAATGTGTTTTCTGCTTACGATGTCACAATGATTTCGTTATTGATGATTCTTACGTCAGTGTCGTGAATCAGATTTCTGCGGTGTCCTCCACGCTAATATAGGTAGAACCGGTTTTAAAAATTCAAACACGTCGGGTCGGCACAGTCCCAAATGTTCCTCATTAAACTCATACTCAGGTTGATAGCCTACATCCCATTCAAAGCTATATAACTTGTACTTTCGATACATCGTCGCATCGTACTCGAATAAATACTTCAGCTTTATCAAAAATATCCTTAGTCATAGATTACAACTAATCCCATTATGGGCATTACTCAGAACGTTTATCTAAGCAGCCATTCGATGCAGGATATAGGCTGAAAGATATTGGTAAAGCTTATTGCATTAGCAAGCTCGGTTCGAAATGAAGATAAGTGTTCAACTTCTCACTTCCGGTCGCTTTATTTCGGAACACCCACTCCGTCGTACATATATAAGGAAAAATCCACATATTAGGTGTATATATTTTGTTGAGTTTAACTATATATCAGTTTGAAACACATTTGAAATAGAACGCCCAAAACCATGTTAGAAAGACATAGACGAATGTTAAATCTAGTTTCGTTAATTCAGATAAAAAGGAGTAATTGTTGAGAATCATCATATCGATGTTTAAAAAAAAAATTTTAGGACCGTATCAAATTTTGGCCATACCATTATAATTTTTATATAATTTAAATTAAAGAGTGTGGGTGACAGACACACCCCATTTCCGTTAAACGCAGATAACAATAAATTACAACGGAACTAAAGACATTTACCTTGATCGGAATTTCTTCTGTCTTTTACATTTTTCTCTGTGCTTCGATTTACTGTGCAAATAACTGTGGACAGCTCTTCACCATTCTCATTCAGAAAGTCTGTGGTGGTGACGTTTCCACCCACGCGTCCACACCGTATTTTAGATTTCCTTTCCCTCCATGCCTCTCGCCATCATGTAGCGTACAATCTACGAATCTTCGTCAATGAAATGACGTAACGGACAGCGATTGGTTAAAGGTAGGTACCACGTGACCTGTACGAGAAGCATGGGCGTATTGATTCCCCACACAATCGGTAAGAGTTTATGATCAAATCCTGTCACATGTACTGCGTTATAATGCTTACAGTATGTTTTGTTTATTAGCTGGTCCATATTTCAGGCGAGGGATGAGGGTTTGTCGAAAAGCTTTTACAATTCAATTGATGGTTGTAGGGTCATTTAGTTGTACACATATATTTGAGAAGACTTTCCGCACATCTTGTTTTCACATTAAGAAAATAACTCTTACAAAATAAAAGTTCTGTTGTCACTTTAGCAGATGCATACGCATGGTTTCTTTTTGGCCTAAAACATACTAACATAAATACCAACCAACAGAAACTGATCCTAGCCATCGTATCTCCACATTTAAATTTCAGTATACCACAATGTATTACAATATGGAATATCTTGAATATATGATGTGGATTTCATTAATAAAGTCTTCTCGGGCTATCAGCCGTGTTAGATGGTGATTAATCGCCGACGTTTCGAGGACCATCTCTGACCTCATTTTCAAGGCTGTTTACTGTGTGGCTACTGAAATCCTCGATTAGTTTAACTTGCTACATAATGATATTGCATTGTTCCAAACTCTTTGGAAAAGTCCTGTCCAGCATGTGTTTACAATATACCGAGACATTTCTGTAGCTAAAGGCAAATGCAACCAGAAATTTACTATCAGGCTAATGTAACGTTATCGTTTGACGAGGACGTCGACAAGCCGTATGATTGCAGTGGGGAGGGAGGGAAGTAACAAATGAATGTATACGGGCGGCAGGCGGGATTTGGTTTGGAAGCTTCCATAAGTGTAGGTGAGGTGGGGTAGCTGTCGCTTAGTTGTGTTTTTAGATAGCGGGCGGAAGCTGGGGGAAGGATGCGAGCGGATGCTAGTGAGATGAAAGGACGGGTATAGGTAGGTTGTTGTTTGTAGCGAGGCTTGGTGTTGTAGCTGCTTGTATTGACAGGAAGACAAGAATATTATTATCGACGACAAGAAGATCATACAAGAAACAAGTTAACCAGGCAAATGTTTGTGAGTGTATATTTATGTTATGTTTGGGGAAGAAATAGATACACAGTTTTTCAAGGCCTAGTTAAAACTCCGTATGCCATTTCAGTGACTTGAAGCGTGCATGGAATAAAATCCAGAGCCTTCTGCATGTAAACTTCTTGTATAAGAAAAAAATATGCCTTCGGAAGATGACAGTGAACGTGCGACAATGATGGAATTGTGTGTTAGTAAAGAATGGTTATTTCAAGAATTGCTTTCTGACCCGTCAAGACTTGTGATTCTCGACTGTCGAAGTTCAAATGAATATGGTGAATCGCACATTAAGCATGCTGTAAATTTTAGCATTCCCAGCATAATGTTGAGACGACTGGCAGCAGGTAAAATCGATCTTATGTCCACGATTAAATGCCGTGAACTCAAGGCGAAGATCATGAACGCTTACAAGGAGAATGTGTTTGTTGTGTATGGTGATTTCAACGTGACAGAGAAGCAGGCACGAACTCAACAGCAATCTGCAAGCTTCAATCCGAGCGATACGCTTCATGTACTGGCCAAACGTTTGGCTCAAGATGGCTGCCAGGTGGTGTGTTTAGAAGGTAAGTAAAGATATTTTTATAAATGTATTTGTATTGAGTGAGCTAAGATTGCACATTCGACTTGCTTGTATCGTGTTTTGAGATGCAATGAATGGACTCGTCGGTAAATTCGACCATCTATTAAAGAGCGAAATTAAAACTCTTCCAAATATCCGCTTAACATTAGCTTGTTATTCATATAGTGTACTTTGTTTTTCTTTCTCTTTTGTTTGCTTTCTGCGAAGTTTCCAGTAAATCTTACTACATAAATCAAGTTTTGTAATTTGGATATCCGTGACAAACATCATATATGTTTCGTACAATACCAAAGAAGGCTATTCATACAGTAATTGTAAATATTGACATTCTTACAGTGACAGCTAAATCGTTTCCATGTGTACTGTGGGCTGTTCCATTGCCTTCACTCGGGGAGTTGGGTAGAATTGACGGAAACGCCTTTCTTGTCATAATGATTGTATGTAATTCATACAGAAACGATTAAATAAATGCACAGCGTGGATTTAGATTTTGAGGAGGAGTGTGGTCTTTTTAAAGAAAGTTATAAAATAGATTCCAGAGAAAGATAAGAGATGCAGTTTTTTTTAGGAAGAAATCTTGTTTTCACTTTACAATTACCCAATTCTACTAGATGGTAGGAAAATATTAAATTTCGTGTTATACATTATACTCAAGATTTGAATGGAGTTGGAATTTAAATTTAGCGGTAGTAATTATCCTGATTTTCAAGTCCGGACAAGTTTTGTTTGTAATTCTGTACAATGTTAGTTTGTTGTAGTTTGCATGTTACAGGACATAGAGAAATATGAATGAAAGAGGTTTGTGAATTTCTGAGCATTGACAGCTTTTAAGATTAAAGACGAATACAGATCCTTTTAGTAAAGATCTCGGGTTTCAAACGCAAATGCAGGTCAAATGGAATAATATGAACATGGATTTACGCAAAGTGCAGGAGGACCTTATGAGAAATTACTTTTAGAACTCAGGTATTAGCTTTCGGCCACTAGGCTAACTTTATAGGATAGTTGACTTTCTTAAAGGGGGGGATGCTTGTTAAGATCAAAATAATTCGTGTAAGTATGAAGTTTTGAACCAGTAGGCCAATTTTCACGAAATTTGGTGTGAACGTTATGTCTTTGGGGGTTATTAGGTTATTTTTGCAGAATGTAAAACAATAATACGGCGGAAATGCAAAACTTCCTTAAGTATGCAGCTTGGCAACGATCATTATAATTATTGAGTTATGAATCTGAAATATGGTTTGGCGATGAACGTACCTGTACGTATAGCACTTACGATATGTGTATGAAATATTGTTTCCAGATGAATAATTACAAACGGCCCTAATATTTGAGGTTACGTATGTCCTGAAGAACTAACTGAGACAAAATCTGTAGCTGCTCTATATTTTCTGAAAATAATACAGTGTTAAAACTACTGTTAATTATATGAAACGTGTTTACATTTGCATGCAGTGAAGAAATATGTTTCTCGTACATTCGTTTATACGACTTCAGGTACGCATCCTACGGTGTAACGGATGGGCCAAACTTCATTTACAATTGGATTATGAAGCTGCATTACTTTGATATGACATTATTTTATATTTATTTAGTGTTCTGTCTGACGACAGGTCCATATGAACAGGATCCTTCCATCCTTTTCTCGGACTGGGACCTGTTCGGAGGAAAACTCCGTGTTGCTTAGACCACGGCCTTGCCCAACACAAGTTATAAATTCGGGCACCGCCGGGAATCGAACCCGAGACCCCAGGATTACAAGGCCAGCGTTCTAACCGCTAGGAACACAAAATTGAAGTTGTGCATTAAGATTAGGCTACGATGGAAAATTGTTTACAACGCAGTTACCCACTCATGTATTTATAACACTCTTTAAAAATGTGTTTTGTGCGTTTTGTTTTCGAACGTGTTTCTCGCTGTTCGAAGTTTTTCATACATCTACATAATGTCCAACTTAACGTGGAACCCGCTACGGCAGTAAGCCACAGCAGCAGCAGCGAGCGAACTGCCGGGAAAGTTAGTCACAACGCACACAATAGCCGTCGGTCCCCGTAAAAACCATTCTACTTTGATATTGCTGTATTTATTCTCATTTAGAAGTCGAGTGGTCGATAATTTCCTTCCTGAAGGGCCAAAAATAGAGTTAAAAGAAGTTTTGAGTTATTAAAAAGAACTGGGAAGTTATTTCCAACACACAACTTCAAGCAGACTGTTTAAAAGTAACAATCAGGCTTCGAATTTCCGTGTATTGTTGTGTGGAGAGTGTGTTAGGATTGGTTACTATGCAGGGATCGCGTACATTAAAATTTATGCCCAGGAAGAAAATTAAATTTCGAATTTTTGAGAGCTGGGATTTCTCCGGTTCAGAGCTTGAGGCTTGCAAGAAACTTTTAGAATTTAATGGCAGTCAGCGTAATAAGATAAATTTTGGAAAGCAAAGGTTGTTACAGCGTAGAGCTTCTTATAATATTCTAAAGATGTATCGATTGTTGAATCAGGTGTCACATTCAGTTAACTTGAAAAGGTTAAACATTTGAACATGTACAAATTCAGTTCTAACCTCAGATAAAATAACACTTCTCTTGTTACAAGGATCAGTTGGTTAGTGCTGTTTAGGGTTTATTGTGAGAATCAAAGGAAACCCACCAGGGATTGTTGAAATATTGAATGGTCAAGCAAATGCTACATTAGTTTATCTCTGCGTGGATCTATAGACCTTGAAGGACCTTGGACCCCTCATATATGGGAGGTTTCTTAATCTGTTTAGATATTTTGGTAAGATTCCTTTATTGAGTGATCAGCCTTTCCTACGTTGTAGGTCTATTCGATTTTAATTTTTTTATTTTTTAAGTCTTTTATAAACAAATCGTTTTGCATTTTAATACGAATATTTTACTGGAACAAGGTGTCGTAAGGTAAATTATTCACAGAAATTCATGTAAATGACGTAAATATATTCTGATTCACTACTAGATGGCTCTGGCAGTCAAAATCAGGAGTGAGTAGAAATTGTGCAGAGGCAGTGGGTTTGTCACTCCCTACTCACAAATGCACCTTACAGGACTAATAAGGACAATTTGCCTTGAGCCAATAGGCCCAATCCGTGTAGTAGATGATGATATTTTGAATAATTTCTACTAATCAAAGAACGAAAACTTGAAATAAAAGTTTTCGAAAAGTATGCAGTACACACAGCAGGTGCAGACGAAATCATAAATAACATGCAGACATAAATGCCTTCAAATCATTTCCAAAGGGAACATACAGCAGATGTCAGAAATGGAAATTATATTCTGTATTTCGTAGGCACGTTAATTTAGATTATGGTTGGAGTCAGGTGCAAAATACAAGCAGAAATGACTATTGAGACTCGAGTTTAATTTAAGTGCATTAAGATAATTTGCTACGTGTAAGCGCGCGCACAAGAGCAAATGTGGAACTGTCCAAGTGATATTTACGAATTGCATAGATTTTGATAATTAATAGTTAGGAAAATGTTTCAGAGTAAACGCAGTCCTGACAGCAGTGAAATATATCGTATTGTTGTGAAACTGACTTAAGGTTAGTCTGTAATTGTGGTGTCAGATTGGTTTAAACGTTGACAGCCCCTTGAAAAGTTTGTGTTTATGAACAAGTCTATAAGGAGTTGTGGCCACCGTAGACGCTTGCAGAACAATTGACGTTATCACAGCGTTGATTCAGTACTTTCATTTCTCGTCTTAGTTTCTGGCCGGTGGAGAATCTAACGGAGCTGGCGGACGGGCCTAGTCTGTGTACCTGAGGTGGCACGGTCAGCGTATTTCTTTTGTTTGGGCGTTCAGTCCGACAAGCTCCTCGGTGCAGTCAGCATTATACTATCGCACAAGAGACTCGCTCCTAGCCTTCCCCTTGAAAATTCCACCGGCCAAAAACTACTGCGCCGACTATACTGTAGGATCAGTTTGTAACCTAAAAACGTTTAATGTGCCAAAAGCCTGTATGACTTATTTAAAGCTTTGAAGCCGAAGATCGTCTAAATATTTAAGATTTCAGTCCGTACCGCAAATAAAACATACTTCTCCACAACAAAGATAAACAGGTTAACAATGTTTAAGAAAATAATCGCTGTTTATAGTGAGAATTATACGAAATTCTTGCATGCAAAATAACGAGTTATTAATTGTTGAATCAGGTGGGACAGGTAGTAACCATTGGACTTTTAAGCGTTAATATATGGTGCAAAGTCGTATTGCAACAGAGCACTGAGTAGCAGTACAAAAACATATCTGATTGGAACGCAGTTTGGACTAAATCGAGATTTTCTTTTGTATCATTAATTGTGATCTCAATTAATTAGCGCATTTGATTCGCGTAGAATGAGCTGAAAGTGTTAGTGTTTGTTGTAGGTGTCCTTGGAATTAATGATGAGGTGAATGTTGTCTATGCTAATTTTAACCCATGTATGAAACTTTTTAAAAATATTTATTTAGATAGGAGTAACAAATTATTTATGCAACTGTAGTAATGATGTAGAGAGGCCATTAAAATTGCCCGATCCAAATGAATATTGAAGTGTCTGCACATTTGTTTTGGTAAAATTCTTCAATATTTAACTTGATCGAAATCTGTTTATTCATTTTCGAGTTATTCGCTTGATGGGGTCCGCAGTGGCCGCGCGGTCTGAGGCGTGGGCCTTGTGCCACTGGGACCGTGGGTTCGAATCCCACTCAAGGCATGGATGTTTGTCCTCGTTTTTCTGTGTCGTCATGTCCTGTGTACAGGTAGAGGCCTTGCGACCGGCCGATCCCTCGTCCAGGGTGTCCTACCATGTCTATAGATCAAGCCAACTGAAAAGTTGGGGACCCGTAAAGGGTACCGGAAAATGTACAAACATTGTTAAACCGGAAAAAAGAAGAAGAGTTCTTCGCTTTTATAGGCAGACAGACAGTCGCTAACGCGACTGGAAGTCCGGTTGACGGTAATAACTGCTCCTAGCTTTGTCCT